AGGGACGCCGAGGGCTGTAGCCCGGCAGTCAGAGCGCCATCCTTTCCGCTTCTCTGGCTTCCCGTGCATGCAGCCCCTCGGGAGGGAGCGAGGGAGGACACGTGGTGGGAGGAGGGAGGGTCCGGCCGGGAGCTGAGAGTGTTGGGAGGCGAGGGGAGGAGCGCGGCTGATGTCAGCAGGCCGCAGCGGCGCCGGGGGATGGCGCCGTGCGAGCTCCCGGACCCTCCTCCCCGCGCGGCTTCCGGCCGGTCCGCGCGGCGCCCTACTGGCGCGGGGCCTGAGACGTCTCCTCGCTAGTCTTTGGGGATGGTGCTCTGGCCTCGGCAGCCGTGCCACTGCGTTCTCTTAGTTCAGTCCGCTTCTTGTGCACTATACATGACTTCTGCGTAGAGAAGGCAGAAGGAACCCGGATTTCTTTTTTTAACGACTTAGCCGTGGGTTCACACATCCATGTGCTCATTTGCATTCACTAGTGCATTGCACTTACTTGGATGGCCACTCAAGAAACTCTACCCATACTTGAGTAATGTTTATGAAGACAAGACCAGCAAGAAGATGTAGAGAGCTGAAAGGGAGGTCCAGCATCAACACACACACACACCCCTCCTCATTTTTGACCGAATGTTCTTATTCTAGCAGGTGTATGTTCAGAACTTTGTTCATAATATACACGGATAAGGAACTTTATGATTTTTGTGGTGTATTAGAGCCTGATAATCTACAAGCACTTGGTTTGTGGAAGGCTGTGCTCTGCAGCTGGAACCCTAACTCCATTTTGAATCGACATAAAAGAGGATTCCATCTGAGTTAAGTTATTGCTTGCTGACCATTAAACCAACAACGTTGCCATGCTTAAGACAAATCCGGGCAAGCTCTGGGAGAGGCAGCTTGCCCTCAGGAAGAATGTGGTTAAAAGTAGATTAACTAGTATGCAGAAAGGAGCTTACACAAAGAACTAGGGAACTTGCCTGGGCTTGTCCTTCTTAAACACATAAGATATTTAGATAGAAGAAAATTGTCAGGTGTTTTCCACTCTTCTTCCTTTGTTGTTGTTGTTATTTGCCGTCGAGTTGGCCCGACTCATAGCGACCCCTCCTTGGGTTTCCGAGGCGTATCACTACGGAAGTACGATTGCCCAACCACTACGGAAGTACGATTGCCCAACCAACCTTCCTTCCGACGAGTGGCTGGTGGGTTTGAACCACCAGCCTTCTGGTTAGCAGTCAAGTGCCTTAGCCACTATGCTACCAGAGCTCCCCTTCTTCCTTTAGTATTTGGTAAATAATAAGATCTGTTGGATCAATAAAGACCTTCCATACTGTTGTCAATGAAACTTGTAGCAAACATTACTGAGAAAAACAATCACAGAGACTGCAATTGAATCAGTTGAATCAGATCAGACTCATAGTGACCACTCCTTGGATTCCCGAGGCGGTATCTCTACCGAAGTAGATTGCCCCATCTTCCTTCCGAGGAGTGGGTGGTGGGTTTGAACCACCAGCCTTCTGGATAGCAGTCAAATGCCTTAGGCACTATGCCACCAGAGCTGAGGTATATAAGGACCAGCAAAACTGCTGATTGCTCTGAGCTATACCAGTGCCGGGGAGCTCTGGGAGATCGTCTGCAGACTGGTCCCCGACAGTAACTGATGGTACTAACTCCGTTTATCCACTCTTGCTAATGTGAGTCCTTCGTGTGTGCAGACAGCCACCCCTGGTTTGTTGATATTCTTAAGTATTAACAAACCTGACATTGTGTAAAGACACAAATTTTGAGTAAAGATTGGGCAATCTACTTCCTTAGTGATACTGCCTTAGAAACCCATGGAGGATGTTGCTATGAGTGGGCCAACTGGAGGGCACATAACAACAACAACAACACAATCATTCGTCACCACCTACTCAAAACAGATGTTCAAGAGAGTTGTTTGCCTGCAGCTCTGTGGACAAAAGTGATGGAGAACCCTCAAGCCCTTTTCATTACAGAAGATTTCTGGGCTTGGGTTTTTGTTGGAAACTTTTCAGATTATCCCTGAGATAATCAGAGTACCTGCTGGAGAAAATCTCTCCAAGGGTTTGTAATCCATAACCATGAGACATTCCTATTTATTTGAATATGAATTTTACTAATTTCTGCTGTGGAGAGGCCAAGGTGGGGCTGGGCTCCTGAAGTGTAATTAGGGCTGACAACCCAAGGCCAGAGAAAGTCCAATAGATGGATGAAGTTGTTGTTGTTGTGCACCATTGAGTCAGACCTGACTCACAGTGACCCTCCTTGGGTTTCCAAGGCAATATCACTACGGAAGTAGATTGCCCAATCTTCCTTCCGAGAAGTGGCTGGTAGGTTTGAACCACCAGCCTTCTGGTTAGCAGTCAAATGCCTTAGTCACTATACTACCAGAGCTCCTGCAGATGGATGGAGAAGAATATTCAAATATTGACAGGGAGTGTTAAAATTAATATTTTTTAATGAGCAGCACTTTTAGAGGAGAAGTGACAATTTACATCAAATTGATTGACATTCCCATTTTCACTTTTCTGAGAGAATGGCAGATTCAAATGGAAAAGTGAGGAAGATGTCAGGAAAAGGGGTGGCTACTAAGGCATTGTTGACACCTCAATTTCTTAAAAAAAAAATTAATACTAGTTATAACATAACCAAAAAGGTATATTATGTTAGTGTTTTAGTCTCTGAGAGCCAAATGCTCTTCTGCAGTTTTGATTAAATGTCAGTGGGAAGAGAGACTCACAGAACAGTGATCCACCTGAATTCTTGACTTTGAACCCAACAGCCCTATGACCTCAATCATTATTATGTGAACCACCTTTTTACAGAATAGCTAACAAGACTTGACTCTGGGAACAAAGTGTTGATATAAGCATAATACACTGCAGACACATTCATATTTAAGTGTTTTTGGTAAATCAAGTCACTTCTCTCTACTTGGGTTTCCTCACCTGCAAAAAGAGGGACTTGAACAAGACATCCTGCAAGCTTCCGCTTGGTTCTATCATTCAGTGATTCCAATTCTCATAAGACTTTATCTGCAATAAGTTAGACAGTGCATGACTTTGATAATTCAGTAGGAAAGATCCCTGCTTAAAAAAAAAAAAAAAAAAAAAAACCAAACCCACAGCCATGGAGTCAATTCTGACTCATAGCAACCCCCACTGGGTTTTCAAGGCAGTAGATCTTTGTGGAAGTAGATGGCTGGCGGATTTTAACCACAAACTTCTGGTTAGCAGTCAAATGCTTTAGGCACTGCACTACCAGAGCTCCTTAGATCTCTGCTAGTGTGTGGTTAATAAATATCAACACCTGTGTATTCAATATAATAATTCTTTAACTAGTGATGCTACTGGTCTAACTTCATCTTTCCTCCTATTTAATTATTACAATTGTCAAAGAGCAAAATGACGTTTGTCTTAAAATTAAAGGATTTCATTGAAGGAATATTATGCAC